TCAATATTACTCGCTATTCATCCTATAAGCTTCTTATGAGCTTTACCCTTGCAGACAAACCTCCAGTCTCTACTACATAGGTGTAAATTCCAATGCTCAAGGCATGTTGAAATTTCACATGCATGGAGAATGATTAGTAGGGCCCACAGGTGATGGAATTATCTCTAATAGTGAAAGTTACTTTTGAGGAAAGAAGAAAAATGGGAGAAAGACCAAGAGACAAAGGGAAAATGAAAACTTTGCAGCAGCCAGCAAAAAAAAGCAGCAACAAGGGCAACAGACTGCCCCATTGGCTTTGCTGCAGGGGCCAGAGCTGCAGCTGGAGGGCAGATTGCAGGAGTGCAGGGCAGGCACAGGTCAGAGCCCCTCAGGAGCTGCCCAGCTCTCCCAGAAAACACCTTAAATCCAGTTCCTAGGTTGACACAAGTGTAACAGCATCGGGTGTGCTCCAAGTTGCAATGGTCAAGCTCAGTGCCCAACTGCTGACACTGCACTGTGCTTGGGAAGCCCAGCTGTGCCCATGGCCTCACTGTGGGCATCAGCCTGCAGCCAGCTTAGTACAGGAACCACTTTCTTTTTGCCTTGGGAGTGAAAAGCCAAGTTCCATTTCCTTATATTACTACCTGGTTATTTTTAAATCATTAACATTATGTGTGAGACTTGATTTTAAAACACCCTTACCACCCTAATGCCATTTACACAAATTGTTAAAAAAGATTTTCATCAATCTTAAACTAAGATACACCACTGCAAAAGTTTCAACATCATACCTTCCATAAAGCCTGAATGAATAATCTCACCAAGCTAATCCAATAAGGCAAGTAACAAATATAATTCCTGCAAATACCATATCATTAAAATATATTTTTCCCATTTAATAAAAGCATACTCTTAAGAATGCAATTATTTGCACTGTTTATGCTTCTCTCCTCTCAGCCTCCCAGGCTGCTGAGAAAAGCTTGTCCACTGGTGGGATCTGGAGGAGTAAGATTGTCTGACTCAGGTTGATAACAAGCTACTGATTATTCAGCAGTGATTTCACTTTGAAGAGTCTTTCAATAGACAAGGAGAAAAACAATTGAATCTACTACACCACTTCAAAAATCTCAGACAGCATTCTTAACCTGTCTTTTTGCATTACTGCAGCACTGCCTGGAAAAGCTACAGCAGTAGAGAGAGAGTAATTTAGGCAACTCCCTTCATGCCACCACTACGGCTCAAAGGGACAGAAATCAAGAAACATTACAATCAATGTCAGTTGATTAGGACATTAAGGAAGAATAAAACATGCAAAACTTATACAAAATCTGTTAAAAGGAACAGAGAAAGCATACATTTCTGAGGAAAGAGTAATTTATTTTCTGGAGATACTTGAGGTTTTGTCTTTCCATCTGGTGGTACTTATGTGTTGTGCTAAGGGACAAGAAGGTTTCCAGCTGAAACCCAAGAGTGCACATTTGACATGAAAGACCAACAAGCAGGATAACCACAGTGTAATCAAAATCCTTAGGATCTGAACAATAATGGACACATTTTTATATACACACACATCTAAATCACATTCATATCCACATAGAAAAACATGCTCTATTACAATAAAATCAAATTAGGGACCTGGAATTGAAAGTGTGGTCCAGATAGTAAAAAAAGACCTTTTCTCACTCTTTTTTGTCCTTCCTCAGCAATGGGTGGTTTAGCTTAAACTGAGGCCTTCCATTTACAAGTACACAATAAGCCAGTTGTGTTTTTCGTTCTTCGGAGCAGCTGTCAACCTTAAGACCTGGTGACCCAGTATTCACAAACATCACATCCATCACAGAGAAGAGGCTCAACCACAACTCTGTGGGCACTGCATCCCACTGCCCTGCCCTGGCAGGCTCAGCTGAAGAAGGAGAGAAGCTGTAGTTCCTCTGGGGCCAGAGACCTGCCTCTCACCTAACGTACACCGTGCTTCAAAGAAAAGAAAATGACCCCCCAGGAAAAACAGCATCTGAGTGCTTTATTGTACCCAGAAATCCTGCCCTGGTTTAGGCTGAATGGGGCTGCAACAGCTCAGCCCCAGGCACACAGCTGTCATTCCCCATTACAAACAGGACCAGTGGGGAAAGGAGGAGAAGGGGGCAAGAAGATGTCTTTTGGGAATTGCGGTGTCCGAGTCAACCCATATGATTGAGCAACCAGAACCATAAACTCCAAAATGTGTGCACCTAAAGTTCTGTGCTTCAAATCAATGCTAATACTATCCATTTCTCCTGCTTGGTGAAATCATGCCCACAAGTCTAGAAGGGTGGGAACAGTGACAGTACAGTCAACCCAAGCAGGCAGGTATAGACATGCAGTTACAGAGGAATGAGTCCTAAGCCTCCTGCCTTTCTGGGCAGGAAAGAGAAGCTCTCTTAATTTGTTCATTTCATTTTCTGGATTTTTGAGGGTTCCTCCTAGATTACTTCAATCAAGACACTTCTCTGCTGTTCTTAAAACCATCCCATTCAGTTACAGAATGAGATTGGAACTCAGCAGAAAAGTTTTGTTTCTTCAGAATTCACCATCTAACTCCAAATGAAAGCTAAAAGAGAAGCCTTTCTTGCAATGAAAGGACAAGAAAAAGAGCAACCACACAAGAAAACCAATGCCCAGACCTCTGAACAGCAAAGCAATTGCATCTGTCAAGTTCCCACAACAAGATGGTGCCAGCTGAGGCTTATGTTAAAACTGTGCCATAAAATTAGATGTCTGGAGCCTCTGTCAGAAGAATGATACTATCTCATTAATGGGATTACATCGAAAAATTGGAGGGATTTCAGTCAAGAGGAATAAAATGATTAAGGATCAAAAGAGTGTGACTCATGAAAGCAAGTAAAAACTGGATGCTGTGTTCTTGCCTGAAAAGCTCATGTCTCTGAACCAGAGGGGCTTGGTGGTACCAGTAACATCACAGCATCTCCTCCCTTACACCCAGAATAACAGAGCAAAAACACCTATTATAAAATTCTAGCTTTGTTATGCCAACACTATTACCATATCACTCAGTAAGAAACTAATAATCAGAGGGGAAAGAGGAGAGGAAGGCTAATTACCCATAAACAGCTGGCAGATATAAGCTCCATAAGAGAAGAACAAATTTAGTCAGGAAAAATGAGAGGGTGGAAAAGAACAAGGTTGTGACTAGAGTGACCAGGTAACATCAAAGCCTTTCAGTTAGTAACAGGAGAGGATGGGTAACATTGAAGCCTTTCAGTTAGTAACAGGAGAGGATTTCTTGGTCATAGGAACAACATATATGTGGAATTATCTTCCCAAGGCAGGTACTGAAAATGATAACTGCTGAATCACCTGAAGAGGAGCTAGTCACCACCCCAAAAACACCATAAGACTTCAGCACTGACAGGAGGTGAGCTAACTACAGAGTAAGGGGAGAAGGAGAAACAGCACAAGAAGGCAAAGGGGAGAGTTATGGCAGCAGATGTTCCCTAGTCACCATTACTGTGTTACACTGCAGGCAAAATAAATGAATAAATAAAAAGAGATCTAAATATAGAATGAGATTCACTTCACTGAGGGGTTCAACATCTCTCTGCAATTCATCTTTTCCAATAGAAGGACTGTAGGTTAAGTAAAAAGGTTCATTTAAATTCCACACACATTCACAAAGATAAACTGATTTCAGAAAGCACTATTATGTCTGCACTCTCTCTCACTGGGGGTGAAAGCCAGATACTTTGTGAACCATTTTGATCCTAGCTAATTTCTCAAAAATTTCATTAGATGTCAACATCAAGGACAAAAGACATCACCATGGAAGAGCAGATGCTACAAGCCACTGTACAAAGCATATTAGGATCACTTCTGCATTCCTCTGCATCAGCATAGGGCAGCACTGCTTCAACACCCAGCAGTGCTCTTGATTTTGGCTATTGTGACAGGCAAAAAGTCAAAAATTACAATTCCCAAGAAGAAACTTTACTAAACAAGTGTCAGACGTGGAGATGCCCAAGTACAGTATGCCAAGAGAAGCAGAGCAACACACTGGAAACCAATTTCTTCCAACTCCATCTCACATCAGATCCTCCAACAAGGAAGGACATGTGTGCATGCATTTGTGTCTACACACTGGCAGGGGAGGGGTTTAGGTCATTTAATTGCACTTTAGACCTTATCCAGTGCATGTAGCATCCGGCAACCGCTTTTCTGGAGCTCACACTTTACAGAGTACTGGAGTCTGAAGCCCAGTGCTCTCCATTTTTACTAAGACCCTTGAGGGCAGGTGGATACTCCCTACAACTGACAGCCAGGCTGGTTGAAGGGGAATCAGCTGCCCAGCCCTGACTAACAGCAGAGGCCAAACTGGTACCCTGCTCAGTCTGTAAGGCTGCAAGGCTAGGCAAGCTCAGTGATCAATGAAAATGGCTCCAACAGAAGATGTAAACAGAGCGTATTTGTTTGCTATTTTTATATGGTTTCCTACCACAGAAGAACACACTCAAAGCTCTTAAGCCATTAAAGTTTTAAAAAGAGGAATAGATTTTTCAGAAGCTGTGCTTTGATTTAACCAGGCAAATTCATCTTGTTGCTTAACCGAATCAAGACCTAAGTCTCCTGTTCTTTCTTTTTCCTTTTTCTTTCTCTTAAAAAAACCCCAGCCAACTAAAAAAACACAGAAAAACATCCAACCAAACTATCCTGGAGTCTTAAGCTCAACACTAGACCTTACAGAAATTATATCAGTGCTTACAACAATCAAAGTTCACCACAGGCTGCTAGAAATCCTCCATAATTTGTATCATGATGCATAACCCAAACCTTTTCCTCCTGAAGCCCAAAATTTCTGGTCAGAAATGCTCAATTACTTTTATGATTCAGAAACTTTACAGTAAGAGTAGTGGTTATGGGGTTTCCAGAACAACAACAATGACCACGATGGTGACTTTGGGCTCTTTAGAGTTCTCACACACCCACACCTCCACAGTGGTCTTGTTCCTTAAATGTATCCTTCTGAGTACCTTGCATCCAGTGTGAGTCCGGGTCTTCATGAGGGGAGTTGTGGTGCACAGCTCAATGGCTTCTGGTTCATGGAAGATCACTGTCGGGAGAGGCTCTTTTCGAAGAGTTAGGACATTCAACTTAGTCTTTAACATGGTCTGAAAGTGCTAAACAGAAAAATAAAATTAATTAACTCCAGTTTGTCGTGGTTTAACCCCA